GGGGGGGGCAGCCGTCAACCCGACCGATCCGCTGTAAACTCGGGGAGACGCAGTTGCCAAGGTAAGATGCTATTAATATCAGGACAAGGAATTAAATCAACACGTCAAAAACGACAGAGAACGGACAGCGCTCCTCCGCAAGAGGGCGCCCTGCAAAGTTTGGGACGCGGCTGAAGTTTATTCCCTCTGCACAGACGCGCTGCAGAGCATCATCATCTAAAAATACAGTGTGTATGGAAACGTGTGCGTGTGACGCAACACGTGGTGATGAAGTGGAGGAAAGGGAATTGTCTCTCTGTCTCTGTCTTTGTCACTCTTTGTTTGGGAGGTTAAAAGTTAAGAAGAGGTTTGGAGGAGAATTTAGATTTAAATTTTGCTGGTTAACTCTCCTCCTTGTTTTCTCCCTTCTGTTCTATATTTCTATTGGTTCATTTTAACCAACCATAAATCCCTGACTGTCTGAGTTTGAACACGGTGTGAGTCACAGCCACATGTTCCAAGTTATGTAAAAGTGTTTGTAAAGTGCTGACGTCGCTGTTTTTTTTTGTATAAAATAAATAAATAAATAAAAACATAGAAGAATCTGCCTTTTTTTGTATAAAATAAATAAATAAATTAAAAACATAGAAGAATCTGCTCTCCCCCCTCGCAACATTAGTCTGGATCTCCTACTGCTCACCTCACATGCAGAACTGCACAGAGGGGACGCCATTACGTAACAATGGACGTCAAGCAAATAGTGATGCAGGAGAAGAAGGCTGTGTGAGAAGACTCTGTTTACCACAAAGAAAACTAAAGATTTGGCCCAAGTACAGACTCAGTACAGACTCAGTACAGACTCAGTACAGACTCAGTGACGGAGCTGCTGCCCGTGCAGATGAACGGGGCAAGTTTTTTTTCTCTCTCTCTCTCTCCTCTCTCACCTGCTTCTCTAAGCACTCTTTGGCTGACAGAGAAGGTTTGGGTGACGGTGCTCTGTCACAAACACATCCCTCCAACAGGTACAGTCCAGAGGGGCGTGAGCTGGAGTCGTTCTCGAAATAAAACAGCATGTTCTGCAGCAGAGCGAACCACTTGGAGTGCCATTTCGTGTTGTCGGAGCTCCTCTTACTCAGGGAGCCTCGCCTCGTCCCGTCCTTTTTGGCCAGAAGAGCCAGATAGGTGATGTGTCCATCGTTCAGTCTCATGCCTTTCTGCATGTTGGCTCGGCTCTGCGGGGACTGACGCCCGTGGCTGTCTCACATTTTCTGCTGCTTCTTCTGCCACTCACTCCCCGGTCCACTCTCCGGTGCCGACACCAACACTATCCAATGCCAAACAAATAAATAATAATTAAAAAAAATAATAAATAAAAGAAGAAGAAAAAACACGAGGAGGAAAAACAAATGTTCAACAGTCGCGAACAGCTGCGTAAAAATCACATCTCAGCAGTGAAGAAGCCACGCTGCTGTGAAGAAGAGAAGAGTCTTCCTCTGCCTCAGGAGACTGGAGGCTCCGCGTGCACACACTACCAACGAGCACGCGCGCTCACTCACTAGAAGGAAGCGCAGTCACGTGACACGCCCCCTCCAGATTCCAGCACCATGGACAGAGACTCTCTCTCTTCCTCTGTTGTTTTCTGCTTTTTCGTTTAGACACACACACTAAATCACACACACACTAAATTACACACACACACACACACTCACACGACCATACGTAACACACACACACTAAATCACACACACACACGACCATACGTAACACACACACATTTAAGCACTTCTTCTTTTAGAGAGTTTTCAATTGTGTTCTCATTTATATCTATTGTATATAAATTAAATGTGTAAATTCTAATTCATCCACATATATATATTTAATTTTTTAAACAACTCCAAACACGGTTTCATCTCTTCTTTCAGGAGTTTGACAGAAGTCTTTCTTATATTTATCGTGTTGTTGTTGTTGACTCCTCTTCCTCACCCTGGTCTCGCTCTCTTCTGTTACAACACAGTAAAAACAGAGATGAAAGCTTTTCCAAAACACTGTCCATTACTGAACATTTACATATCTGAGGCAGCGAGACGGAGACTCACTGCTGTCGGTCCATAATTAATCCTGGATTAGCATATCAGGAGGAGGAGACACACAATAGATTATTACATCACAGAGAGTGTCCCTGCTTCACTCTGGACACATGGACACAATCATCAGCATCAACAGAAGGTGAAAACACAGGAGTGATCGTATCAAAGTTAGCTAACTGTTTTTAAAAGATAGTTTGATTTTCCTTTTTTATCCTTGTACGGATGAAAGGACGAGAGAGAGAGAGAGAGAGAGAGACGGCGTAATGTGGAATAAGTTGTAATTTAATGACCCACATTCATTAGGGGACCGAGGCAACAGGCCACCCCAGGCACCTCCATCCCATAATAGGAGCCTCACACTGGGTCATAATGAGTTGGTGATTCTCCTCTCTGAATAGCACTGATGGTTAAGATTAGTTTTATGGCTTCTTATTATAGAAGGGTATGAAATGGAAGGCGATGCAGGAGATTGAAGCGACAGAGCAGGGGATGACATTTCACAAAGGTCATAAAGGAGATTTAAATGGATGAAATTGTAGCCAATCAGTCGGCAGTTTCCAGAGAGTCTGTTCAGTCACATTGTGCCGTCTCAGGTCTGATCATAATAAACTTGTATCTCACAGTCTGTGTGGGAAGAACGCAGTGCAAACCGTGTCACTGCCAACGTTGTCGTTCCGTGAGCAGTTTAAAGACACATTTGGAGAAGTAACGCTTGTTTATTCCAGTAAAGGAGTTTGATCATATACCCTCTGACTGGAGGACAGAGGATGAGGTCATTAAAAAATGATGAAGGAGGACGTGTGTCTTCAGCCTGCGGTCCATACAGTAACTACAGAGCATCAAACCTCTCACAGCAGGTTAGAGATGCTGTCAGTCTCCATCAGAAGATGAAGATGAAGCTGAAGCTCCAGAGGCTCAGGGACAGAAACAGCCGTGTTGACAAACACGTTTACCACAGGACGTGTGGTTAGAATGTATGTTCTTACTGTCTACTAGTGAAACATCAGTAACAAAATCACTGCACACACGTTAAAGGCTTACTGTATCTCCTTTGTTTTAAAATCAAAATTGCGAGGAGATTTTAAATCTTTATAAAAGCACTCAGTGAGTTACTCATCATTATTCAATTTTCTGGGCTTCACTTTTTACAACCTTCCTGCTTCAGACTCATATCTCACCTCAAAACTCCATTTAAATCATCCCACTGTGCCAGAGTGGCGTCTGACTGCCCGTCCAGCAGGGGGCGCCTCTACAGGCTCTGCAGAGACAGGGATCAGAGAGAAAACAACATCGTCAGGCTGATGTGGTGAAGAAAATGTTACAGGAAGAATGAACAAGTACACACTGCTAGAAACACTGCTCTGGACACACACACACACAAACGTGGTCACATGTTCATGCATTCATAGACAGCCAGCACACACACACACACATGCGTGCAGTGAACAGGGGAGGCTGACTCATGAGGACATGTGTTCAGTGTTACCCTACACAGTGTGGAGGAGTCGTTTTGTGTTTTGGTTCAGATGATTTGTGCATGTGTGACACAGTAGCAGATTGTTGTGTCATAAGGCTCTGCATTCAAGCCAAGTTCACCTGTTGAACGGCTCAACGTTCCTCCTACATAAATGTATGTTACACAGTAGAGTCAACCAAAGGGACAGGATCGATATTTAAGTCCAAGTCACCGTGGAAAACAAACGAAGAGCAGTTTTTTCAGATGTATCAAATACATCTGAAAAAACTGACAGTGTTCTCTGTCTGGATTGGTCCAGTACAATACTGAAAAAAAGTTTGGTATTTTCTAGCCTGGCTCCACTAGGTGGATCCTGCGTCCAGGGTATTAAGTTGAATTAATCCTATAAATGTAGTGAAATAACTTTTACAAAGCGCTGCAGGGGCTGAAACATAAAACACCAAAGTTAAGAAAAAAGTTTAGGTTATAACTATATTGAATATAATTACAGATTATAATAGAGATTTTAATCATTGATGTGCTTTTCTTTAATGTAGGTATAACATTAAATACCTAAACAGAGCTCGGGGAACTTGTTGTAATTGAATCCCACTGAAAGTAACTGGAGGAACTGTTTGACTAAAGATAAAAAAAGTCTAAAGTTAATCCATTCACCTCTGATTAAAATCATCAACATCTGTACAGGGAAAAACATGGAAGAGAAAAACATTTCTCAACATTATTCTGGTCCTGTTTTTAATCTATTTATATATAGATATATTTAAAAATCATGTATATGTACGAAGACAGCGTTCACCTGTTACTGAGACTCTGCCCATGTCAAAATGAATGCATTGTACGCCCTCTAGTGTCCATACTAAAACACTGCTGAGATCTCAGTCGGCTGGTCTTGCCACTTCAACTGCCTGGTCCTGATGTGTGATGGCAGCCCTACATGATCACGTTTCACCCCTCAGTGAACAGCAGAGGTGTAACACACCACAACAATCACAGCAGCAGCAGCAACGGCAACGACAACAGCAGCAGCAACAGCAGCAGCATTGTTGCTCCGATCTCTTTCGATCCACACTAAGGTGTTCAGTTATGGGGTTCACGTTCTCCTACTTGGTCTAATTTATAATTTTATCACTATATAATAATAAAAAATCATGTTCTACATTTATTCTGGTTCTACAATTAGGAAGATAAGGGTTTTTTTCTTATTTCTGTTCAAGAACAGAAAACAGTGTTGTACTGTATGCACATCTACATAATGTGATAAATAATTTGATTCACTTCACTTCAACACATTTTACGTGTTTATATGTGTCCAAGGCAAACAAATACAAGTTATTCATCATAAACCCATGAATAAACTAAAGCTTTGATGTGGTGTAAAAACTGGAATAACGAGTTAGAAGAACAAACTTCACTATCAGTATTTGTCGACCTTACAAAGAAATATTCAGAACTTAATATCAAGTGTCACCGACCGAAGTACCACCAATTATTCAAGTTAACATTCTCTAAACATATAATTAGTATCAGTTCTAGTAGTGTTAGCAGTATTAGTATTAGTACTAAAAGCCCTACTCAGTTAGCAGACGACGTCCGTTCACGTTTGTAACGTTATCCTTTCAAAAATAATTCGAGTGTGTTGTGTTGTTATTCAGAGCGGAACGAAAACCCAACTCCGTGTTTCACATCGGAACACAAAACTGACGTAACACAATCAGCACTCGCGCGAACCACAGTAACTACCAACCAAAGTGTTTACATCTGCTCTGTTACATGTTCTTGTCATTGTTGTTTTCCAAAAAAACAAATTTCTGGCCAGAAATACTGTGAAGACGATAATGTTTATTTTATAAAATATTTTAATAAAAACCTTCCAGCGGAAAAATATGCAGATTTTATTTGTGCCCTTGTGTTTTTTCAAAAATCCAGCCTTTATTTCGAGAAATCTGGGCAACAAACTCCTGTTATATTTACATTTGTGTCTGTTTAACGATTTAACCGATGAATAAATAACGTGAACACAATTAGGTGTTGTTTTCCGTATAGCAAACCATAGGTTTTATGACCATGATGTCCGTACGCTGACAGCCCAAAGAACAACGAGGAAAAGCTAGGATTTATGCTAGAATTCTGAGAAAATGTACGGTATAAAGTTAATAGTGGCAAATCTCAAACATGCTCGTACATTAAAACCCAAACTTCACAGTGAAAAAGTAAAAAATAACTATGTTGTAAAAATGAGGAGATTAAACAGGTGCATTTGAGAGAAAGGAAACATGTCAGAGGGAATACCTGCAGAACAGGAGGAGGCATGTGGGACATTCCATTGGAGAACATCCAGGAGAGGACTGGACTCACCAGGAGGTACTTTCCCCGCAGCCAACATTATATTATAAAATCCTAACTGTCCTAAAGCCAATAGTTCTGACCAGCATTACTGAAAAGGGAGTTGTTTTATTTAAAACACTGTTAGGAAAGTAGGCACATGTGACTTCAATTAAATCTGATTAGTTCTCCAGCCTCCAGCCAGGAATCACATCTTTACACCTTAAATCTGTGGTTAACATGTTTTAATGTGTTATATGTTTTAAGGTTTACAGAGTCAGTGCATAAACATGTTTTAATAACATTTAATTTGAACTGAATGTGTAATGTGTTCAATTTGATGCCAGAATGTACTTGTACAGTTGACTTCAACGATGGTTGTAGAGAGTACACATTTAAGTTGTTCTTGGTCACTTTAAATAAATAAATAAAAAATGGAGGATGTATTTTCTTTTTACTATTAACCATATGTGTGTGCTCTGTTCAAAAGCATGGACACATGTGAATGGAGAAGTGTGTGTGTGTGTGTGTGCGCTCTGTTCAAAAACATGGACACGTGAATGGAGAAATGGTTGCAGTCACAGAGCAGAGGGGCCAGGAATGTGCTGCTCTAATCCTACAGAGGTACAGAAATGCTTCAGCAGATCTCATCTGGTTCACATGAATCGCCCCAGGGTCCAGTGTTCACATTGAAAACCCCGGAACTGGATAAAGAACCCCTGAAGCCTGTTTGGTTAACAGCCTTTTACACCAACAAGAACAACTCGACTGAATGACCCACAACAATGCTAGCAGAGGCGGCTGCAGCCCAGCCTCTCACGCTGACAAACCAAGACTTCAAAAAGTATTATTAGAGGACGGTTAAGCCATGCAGAAGTGAAGACCTGGCTCTACGACACCTGGTCAGTCGGTCAGTCACACATGGTTCACCATGTTACTAAATTACATGATGCAGCTGTTAGCATTTAGGTTTATTAATCAGTTGTAGGTGTTTTTACCAACAGCTTTCAACATGAACACAGATCCATGATTGTAGCTCATGTTTAAAGAACTGCCTCAAACCTTCAGTCTTTCTCTCGACCTAGTAACACATATATTTATAAACAACAAACTGTAAATGTTGTTTTTTATTTTCTGATATTTATGATTTTTTTACAGCACAGCACAAAAACACACGAACCGAGTTTAAGGATTTTCTTTCTTTTTTAACATATTTCTAGAGAGAAAGGTTTGTTTCTAATCTGTCTAAAACGACCGACCTTGACGAACATTACTTTCTAAGTGCTACTTTGAGAAGTTTAATTTACCAACTGATGACTGAAAATCACGTGCTAAATATATTAGACCATCATCAGTATAGAGTATGAAGCAGCCATGACAGTAGACGTGGGTAGTTGGTGGGAACCATGTGGTGAAGCATCACAGCGTGAGCTGACATAGCCAGACAGCTGACTCAGCACCACCCTGTTGTCTGTGTGCTCACTTGACATTGTCTTTATCTCTGCTGACAGAACACAGCCTCAGGGAGGAACTGCCCTCACCCTTAACACCCCCTGAAAATCCTCCTCCTAACCCAGGACGCAGGATCTCCTAAACACACTCCTGATCCTGTTTCTGATCCAGTTCCGCCACTAACTCTCTGGCGCCACCAATCAGCTCTGAGCCCCTGTTTGTAGGCTATGCTGACGATGAATATATCAAATGTTTGAGCCCCTGTTTGTAGGCTATGCTGACAATGAATATATCAAATGTTGTAGATGTAGCTGCCAGGCTGAAGACGAAAAGATGAAGATTTATGGATGTTTTGAAAAAGGACATGGAGATAGTTGAGGATGGTAGGGTGAGATGGAGGCAGATGTTCTGCTGCGTCTACCCCTGAAGGAAATAGTCGAAAGGAGAAGAAGAAGGTCTTCAGATGCATTGTGGGTAAAGGACTGGCATCACAGCGTAGCTCAGTCCCTCCTGTTGCTCCGACACATGCACAGACTCGTCCGTAGGTAATCACTACATGGCCTGCGCTCTGCTTTACTCCACTCAGGGCCCATGAATGCTGCAAACCTGCATTCCCACACCTGCCTGAGGCACACACCGTTCACACAGACAGACAGAGAGGAATCCACTGCAGGAAGAAGAGGAGGAGGAGGAAGAGGAAGAGGAGCAGGAGGGAAAAACAAGAAATGAGAGGGTCCTATATTTCTGGTCTGGTTTATGTCTCAGACTGAAAGAGAATGAAGTCTTCAGGCGTCAGGACTGAAAAACAAGTGTTGTGATCCTGTAGTTGCTCAGAGGTTGAGAGCACATGCCAACGTGTGCACCTGTAGGTGAGCTGACTCCAGTGAGGCTCTGTGGATGTCAGGTTTGTTTGACTATGTTACGATGTGACACATCACCTCATGAATAAAAACGATCATTCAAATGATATCTCATGTGTGAAGACTGAGACTGAATTTGTAGAATTTTTGCCATGAAACAGGAGTCATTTCCCTCCTCCCCCTACGTGGGCCCCATGAGGAGCAGAAGGGGAGAGCGAGTGGTCAACAGAGATCTCACTTTCTCGGAGCAGCTGAGTGCCAGAGGAGCTGACAGGTATGTACGTATTGGAATGTTCTTCTCAGCCACACCTGTGACGGACACACCCGCCAACTTCGGTCTCTCTCATCCCACTGGCTGATCTCTGAGCGACTGACAGCCGAAGGAACAATTTGGCTGCTGTCCACAGAGGCCGGGGGGTGGAGTGGGTGGGTGGGGGGGCAGGTAGGATGACTTCTGTGCAGCGACCAATGGCAGCCACCGTGGCAGGCGGAGCTGCAGGGAAGTAAATCTCATGAGTGGGGTGTGTCTCCAAAGGTTGTCAGCAGTCAAAGAGTGAAGGGCTTTTGCAGCAGGATCCCACTCTGATCAGGTCGCCCTGACCTGGTGCCTGGCAGCACGAGGACCTGGGTGACAGACGGAAGCTTCTTCACTGGTATGAAAGAGCAATCCTGGACTGACGGAACTGAGCCGATGGCCTTCATCTCCTCTCATCTGTGCAGCTCTGCTCTCTGGGTCAGGGCACCGAGGAGAAGACTGACCACGCAGCCTCTGGTTGGTCTCTGTTTTAAAGACGCAGCTTGACTGGACCTCCAGTCACCGGTCACTCACGTCTCCTTATCACTTTTCCAGCCCAGCTGTAGAGTCTGTATGTTGGACGGAGAACTGATAAGGGCACGTGAATGACATTCCCAACAAGTATTAGAGAGTCACCTGTCGGCGTTTGAGGGTAACTGGGTCAACAGTCGTGTGTGTGTGTGTGTGTGTGTGTTTTGACTTGTTTTCTCTCTTTAAAGTGTGTGTGTGTGTGTGTTTTCTCTCTTTAAACACTCAGACTATTTGTCTACTTATATAGAAAGATGTGCCTGATGTGTAAAATAAGGAGAGCGTGTCTTATAAATTGAGACATGCACAGCCTTTAGGCAGCTCTGAACACACCTGGTTTAAAGTCACATTTGTCAAAGTGTTCTTTGTCAGGAGAGACTCCAGGCCAGATGATGTATTTCAGCAGAAGGAATTACAACTTGGTTTGATACTTCAGCCGCCGGCAGAGCCAAAGTGAACTCAGCCGCCCTGACACTATAGAGCATGACTAACATAATCCACCAACGCTCTACACTGAGGATGACAGAATATTAACACAGTGACATGTTTCAACTCAAATACTCCCAGATATAATTATCATTGTTTTGTATAATACCGTACAACAACTCTGACACAGAAATATGAAATAGTTTGAGATCAAACGAGAGTGTAATTAATGAAGAGATAAAGGGAAATAATAATAATCATCATTGAAGAGATAAAGGGAAATAATAATAATATACAACATCTGTCTGACAGAAGGATCTGAGTTTATTAGAGAAGAATCACAACTTGTCATCATTGGGCTTCACTGTATGTGGAATTATGTGCTTTTAGCTGTGAAGAGGTCAAAGGTCAAATCTATTTTGCAGGACTTCAGCATGGAAAAATGAAAAAGTAGTGTGAATTAAAAGGTTTTGTTCTGTTAACTCTTATTTTGTTTAATTTTATTTTCAATCACTGCTCGACTCAATGTCTGATGAAAAGTGAGAAGTCCAAGACACAGAAGAATTTATCTGATAAACTATAGATAAGACTTCCTTAAAGAACACAGGCGCAACACAAAAGAAAAAAAGCCACATTTGTGAATTAATTTGCAGATTATAAACCAGGCAGCAGAAAAGATATTAACAGACTAACAGGAACTGATGCTGATGACGAGTTTAACGACAGTCCAGCAGCGGAGGAGACGGCGCTTCACCTTCATCCACAGATGAATGGAGTCAGTGATGAAGGATACGATCAACACCTTGTCAAACTTGCTGGACTGTTACATTCATACACTGTCTATTTGTTCTTTAGGCTAATGTGTAAAAGCACAGTTTTCTCACAGGCAGGTTATAAAACTAATACGTAGACGTGACCTATCGTCCAGAAACTGTAGCCGTTTTGTAACAATTAGACAGATTGAAATCCGTCCGAGACTGAACACTGAATATTTTTACTCATTATTTAATTTAGGCTGTGGAGACACAACCAGTTTTATGACATAAACCTTGGCTACGTCGCTATTCTGCTTCCCATTGGCTACCTTAGCTTAGCCAATCAGAGGATCCAGCAATGCCTTCACTGGTAAATCCCAAAACACTGGTCTCAATGATTGGTAACTGTCTTCTGTCAAGATGTGGAAACTTATTGACTCACAGGTCATGAAGGTCTGAGACACCGGCGCAAGATTTTATAAGAGAATAAATACAAAATAAAGCCACACCATACGCTTAAGAATTCAAAATGAAGCTCAGTGAGAAGTCAGGCTGATATGTTTTAGGCCAGACCGACCATGGAAGCACTGATGTCCCACAGCTTCTTGGCCGCGGCATCGTCCAGGGCCTGTGGAGCCGGCTGTTTGGGGGCACAGTCACTGTGAGGTGGAGGAAGATTTAAAAGAGAAAAAAAAAAGGTTTTCTTAATCATACACACAAGTTGGACGGTGGCTGACTTCATTATGAGTTCAGCACACACCAATCCTGGTGAGCTCAAACAGACAGACTGTCCAACACCGTGTTATTATCACCTCGTCTCAGTCTGATAATATTTATCACCAGTGTTTGTGTTTTTAAAGACATTCACCAACAAATATATATAAAAAAAGCCATGACACAAAATTTTGCTGGTGAGAACTTTCAGTAACTTATACAATACAATACAAGTCAATTAAAATTAATTACAACTAAGATTTGTGTTTTTTTTATTTCACTGTTGTCATTCAAAGTGGGTGATTTAGCCATTCTTGTTTTTCCACCTTTTTTAAAAGATGTTACCTTGGCTCGTTTAATGTTTATTACACAGACACTATGAACCATGGGTATTCCCCACAGGCATGGTCTGAAAAATGTCGGCTAATGAAAAAGGGCCATAAATGGCAACAACCAGACCACAGAGCACATTTTTCAACACAGCAGGAGAGACTTCAGACTTCTGTGATACACCTGCGAGTCTGTAAACGTAGACCGTGGTCAAACCAAACTCACCAAACAGCTGACCTCCATTACACTCATTCAAGAACATTAGAGCAAACATAAAGATATCATGTCCTAAAAACCAAAAGTCAAGTCAATTGATAGCTGTATACTGACACCTACTGACAAAACAGCAGCATAACATGGCAAGTCTAATGACGTCAATAACCTCGTACACCAGGACTCTGCTAAGTGAATATTACACGTACAACAAAAAACCCTGGTATTTAAGAAAAAGTAGTTCATGATTAATATAAATATTTTATAAAACAACAGTGAAAGAGGAGTTTAATCGTGTTCTTAAATGTCCAGCTAAATAAATAATGAAACTTATATATGGGCTACATGTACTTGCCTGTAGTAAAGGCCGCTCTGATTGGCCACACTCTCATCCACGGCGCAGTAGATTGTGGTCTGAGCTCCTTCCCAGGGAGTTTTGAGAAAAAGCATCACCAGGGGCTTTACCAGTATCCGCTTCCACAGGGGTAAAGTGGGAATGTAATAACGGCCCAGCTCTGTGCGAATCACCCCGGGGTGAAGGCTGTACACTGTCACACCAGTGCCTGATGGGAAGGAACCAAGAAAAAATACATGTGATTACCTTCAGAATGTATAAGTATTGTACTATAGTAACATTCACATTCAAAAAGAAACAAAAAAGAAGAGACGAGTGCAGTATTGACTATTTTACATTAATAAATATCTTTACTGTAAATTAAAACATTCTTTTCTCGCTAACGTTTTTCAATGAACTACGACAGTTTGAGCATTGATTAGTGAGTAGATGATTAAACACAACATGAATAAAGCTTCTCTACACTGTAATTAGTTGATTTTACTCTGTACGACACACAGTCAGTCACACACAGACAGCCTACCTTGGAGTCTTGCAGCAAGTTCTCTGGCAAAGAGGACATTGGCCAGCTTGCTCTGTTGGTAGCTCCTCCTAGGACAGTAGTCGTTGTCCAGGTTGATGTCATCAAAACTTATTTCACCTGCAACAAACAAACGAGCATTGGACATAAATTCTACAAAAAAAAAGGCACATCACAAGCAGTACAGATATGTTTTGTTTTTGTATTTCTTGTATGTTTTCGTAGTTGCGTCGCGTTCATGAAAGATATGTTTTGTTTTTGTATTTCTTGTTTTCGTAGTTGCGTCGCATTCATGACCTAAAATGTTCAAACTCTGCCTTTACCACTCTCATGCGCCAGGCTGGAGACGACAACAATACGACTTGGAGTGGACTTCTTCATCAGGTCCAAGAGTGAGTTGGTGAGAAGGAAATGTCCCAGGTGATTGACACCGAACTGCATCTCAAAACCCTCCACCGTCTGCCACTTAGGACACCGCATGATTCCTGGATGAAAACACAGGAACGGTCACACAAAATATCCTCATCACAGTTCTGATTATGAATGTTGGACAGATGGACATATGATACAAACACAACTGTAACTTCCAGAGTTTTTACATTTGACCTCAAAGCATCTGTTACCTGCATTGTTGATGAGGATGTCCAAGCGCTCCTCGCTCTCTTGAATATCTTTAGAGAAATCCCTGACTGACCGCAGCGAGGCCAGGTCCAGTTTTTTCACCACCACGTTGCCATTTCCACTCTTCTGCCGGATGTCATCAGCTGCAATACGAGCTCGGGTCAAGTCCCTGCAGGCTAAGATCACTCTGGCCCCTTAAAGATCGTTAGAAAAATGTATTAATTATAGATGTTCTAGTGGACACATTCATGAAAACCTCGACAAATGTTTATTCAGTCTCTGTTTTAAGTGACACCAAAGAAACACTTCAAAGAAAGTTCTAACTTTCTGCAGCGAGGTCATGATAGTACGTGATGGCAAAACAGGGAACGAGGCAAAAGGTTATCAGTTTTACCGTTATCTATTTGTGCATATGTCACTCAACACTCTGTGTTTTTCATGTCCACGTGGAACATTCTTCTTGTTACTGATGTTTCTTGCTAAACCTTTTTTCATAAATAAAGGATAGTCAGACAGTAGAGTCAACTCTATCTCAACCATCCTCTTAAGAATGTACCCTCAGCACCTTTTTCCAAACTCCTATGAAATGCCACACGTTAGGGACAACCACAATCAGCACTGAGGTAATAAAATAAATAAACAGAACAGGAAGGTCTGACCTCGGTGGGCCATGTCCAGAGCCGTCTCCTTCCCAATGCCAGTGTTGGCTCCTGTGATCAGGACAGTTTTTCCATCCAGCCTGGCCTTGCTCCGACATGTTCCCCCAGCCACCCACCTACGCAAGGCCAGTGCACTGGCACCTGGGAGGAACCACCATGTTGACAGTTAATACTGTACTATATATTGTGTAACAACACATAAGCAATAAGCACAAGACACAGTTGATGCAGAAGGCAGAAGGATAGCCTTAACGTTTTATATTATATATAATATAATGTTTGTATGAATTTATATAAAAATGTATATATATATAAATTCATTCATATATACATATATATGTTCATACAAACAAGAAATAACATTGTTAACACGTTGAAATTATGCAGATTTGCATATGAAAAGACAGCTAAATGCCGCTGTAGCGTTTTGTTGTACGGTATTTATACCGTGTTTTTGTTGTTGTGTGGAAAACGGTATATTGTTTTACTAAATCTAATGATGATGTAGTTTCATAGTTTATAGTTTATACGGAGCATCGACTGAGGAAAACATCAGACACCAGTAAACTGTCCGACTAAGGAAACACCTTACCTGCAACAAAGGCAACCGTGAGAGCGACTGCATGATTCTCGACAAACACCTTCAGTTCCCCCATGTGTTTTTCCATGTTTCAGTCCGTTGTGTTTAATCAAATAACTTCTGTGAGCCGAGCTCCTCCATACAAACCGATACATACGTTAGCTCACCAACCGGAAGTGCGCGGCGTGACGAACATAGAGATTTTTCAAAACAAGATACACTGTCTTCGTCATAAAATTGTTCGTTTTTCCCCATTATTTTTTTGTTAGTGTTTATTTGTTGAAGTGTGTCTGGGGTCTTACCAACAAATTATTCTTTTTATAATATCATAGCTGTACCAAAAATCACGAGAGACAAACAAGCGTTGTACCATCTAAAAAAGAAAATATATAATTTAAGAATAAATCGATCTTTACGACAAAATAGTAACTACAAACAACAACTATTACTGGGAATTCTGTAACTATTTAATATAAATTATAAATATTACTACACTACTACTAATAATAATAATAATGAAAAAAGTTCGACTTGGAACGAGAATGTAAACAAAGCTGAACCGGAAGTGAAACGTCCCGACGCCACGTCAGAGTTGAAATCTCGCAGCTGTCAGAGAGCAGAGGCAGCGGCTCCTGTCTGTGTTGGTCTGTGTGAACCGTCTTCACTATGAACTGTCTGCTGTCTCTCGCCTCTTTGCTGCTGCAGTTTTGGGTAATTTTTGGAACTGAAGTCACTTTCGAGCTGCCTGACAACGAAAAACAGTGTTTTTATGAGGAGCTGGACCAAAACATCAGGTTTGACGTCACCTTCCAAGTAAGTTCCTCAGACAGCTGCTGCCTAAGGACTGCTGGGATCACTACATAATCTTAAGCCATCTTCTGTCAACACTACACTTTTTATATGTCGATTTATACGTATGGACTTTTCTCTAATTACATACTTTAAAAAAAAAATCCTTATCATTGGCTCCTTTCCTACAAGGACACAGTCCATGTATCTACAGTACAAAACAGTTCAGTTGTTCTTAGTTTTTTGGGAAAAGTATACTGTCTGACGGGACAGCCACAGTACAAAACAGTTCAGTTGTTCTTATTTTTTTTGGGGGGGGGACTATACTGTCTGACTGTCTAGTTTTTGACACTTATTTCAGGATCAGGTCTAGTTCTGCAGAACGACATTGACACTACTAATGCATCATTGTGAAATGTTAGGCCTATGCAAATATTGACATTTGGTGGAAACATTTGGCTGAGAGATGAAATGATCTTTTTGTCTTTGTTTGGTTTTGTTTGTTTGGCACCATGTGCTTTTACTATTTTACTGCAAAGAAGTTTTTTCTAAATATACAGTAGCTAAACAGCTTTAAAGTAAATCAGTTAATAAACACATTACAGCTGTAACAACAGGCTTGAGAAGAGGGTCTGAAACCTCAACAGTAATAATTGAGCTACAATCTCTCACAATCCCTCTGACAACTGCAGACCACAAATTCATGCTTTGTGGTTTTTCTCCTTTCAGGTCATTGCAGGAGGCAACTATGACGTGGACTGTTTTGTGACTGATCCCCAGAACAATGTTCTGTATAATGAGAGGAAGAGACAGTATGACACCTTCTCTCACGTCACGTCTATGAAGGGAGTCTACAAGGTCTGCTTTAGCAATGAGTTTTCCTCCTTTAGCCATAAAATGGTCTATCTGGAGTTTCGTGCTGGGGAAGAGGATCCTCTTATGCCTGAAATGGCTAGAACCACGGCCCTGACTCAGGTTAGTCTGGAACACATATATAACTGTTATGTTGCAGATTCAAGATTCAAGATTCAAGATTCATATATGACTGTTATGTTGGCCTGTATTTGACTTATTTAAATCAAGGGTTCAGTAAATAAGTTCTGACAGGAAACCTCATCAACTGGTTAAAATAATAGTTATTGTTAGTGAAATAAGGTGGAACAGTGTGGATTTAGACTTATTTAAAAGGTCAGATTAGTTTTTTGTTAAATGTGAGTGTTCAACAGACGAGAGTCATTCTTGGACCAGAGGTTTTTTATATTTATGTTTCTTTTTAAACACACCATGACTCACCTTGTCCATGTTCATTTTTAATGTGTGTCTTACCTTTTGGCTTTCAGTTGGAGTCATCGTGTGTCTCCATTCACGAGAACCTAAAGGTGGTGACAAACTCACAGAACAGGTACCGAGTCAGAGAAGCATACGATCGCCTGAAGGCGGAGCGGCTCCTTGTCCGAGTGAACTACTGGTCCATGGGAGAAACCGTCTTCCTGTTTGTCATTGGAATCGGTCAGGTTATGCTGCTGAAGAGCTTCTTCTCTGAGAAGAAAGGAGGTTCTGTGGCAGCCACTACTTAGGACTTCATGAATGTTCACTGGTCGGCACGTTTTCTTGGTTGTTGATCCAAATTTCAAATCTTAATTTTTATTTTACCTTCTTGCCAAAAATGACCAATACAAATGTTAATATTGTTAAGCTAATTATGAATTGCATATTAAAGAAACCCAATCATTGTCCTGGTTGGTCGTGGGACTGATGTCAGAGACCAAATAAGTGTGAATGTTGGTTTACTTTCTTTTATTTTGTGTAAATGTGTTAATCGCCTCAACTAATATACATAAGTTATTGATAAACACTTAACGTCAATATTCTTGACTATTCTACAAGGAGTGCTTTGAAAAGTTGTTTTGATATTTTTAAGTCTGGGTTGAAGTTGGCTGTTTTAATCAGTCTTTCGTTGTTACTGCCCCTGTTGTTACTGTTGGGTCTTATGTTTCTTTAAACTATTTAAATTGTCAGAACATTGTTACGGCATTTTGCCTATTAAAAAGATAAATGTTTTAGTCGTCTCTCTTTATTTGCCTGTAGATAGAAGAGAGTGTAGAAGAAAGTTATTGATGAGAACATTTCCAACGGTGTTAAACATTATTCGTAAACTCCTGGGAAACATGATGTGAGACGACCCCAAAAAAAAACCTCTTGCGACCCACCTGAGGGTCGCGACCCAGACTTTGAGAAACGATGCCCATTTAAAGTAAGTTTGTGTGTTCATGTGTTTTATTTTAATCATGTAGACATATAAATAACTAGTTAAACCAGCCAAAAACGTCGGTGTCTCCATGGACAGAACCTCTGCTGCATCATAAGATTCTGTTGTTATTATAAGATCATATAACGTGACTTCACTCCTTTGTACAGCAGGTACAGGCGTGAACAGGTTTGATGGATCTCTTATGACAAAGTCCTAATGTTCTTGGCTCTGATTGGCCGTGACAAGGTTTTCACGGCCAATCATAATCAAGTCCGGTTCGATTTTTTACGTAGGCTGACGTGTGTATAAACCATCACAAGTTACGTGTGATTCTTTTGTACCCCGGCCGGCTAGCGGCAGCGTCTGTGGGAGTAGAATCACTTCCGTATAGTTATGGCGGGTCACCTGAAGAATCTGTCCGCCGTGTGGAGGAAGGTTTCTGCCGCCGCCGCTCTGCCGCACACCTGCCCGGTTGTCATCCCAGCAGCGGCGGCTTTCAGCGCACGGCACGGACCGCAGCACAGGAACTGTGAGTCCGCTCTAAAGTCTAACTAAAGTCACCGGTTCATTGAAGCGTACTTTCCGCCACCGTGTTCTGTGACGTTTTCATTTCACCGTAGATCGATTTTTTATAGTAGCCTACCTTTGAACTCAGTATGATATGCCAACAAAATGGCCTAAACCACTGAGCCACCACGGGGCAGCTGTGGCTCAGTGGTTAAGGCATCTGCCAAGTTACCACTGAGGTGTTCTGAGCTCGGCACCGTCCCCACACACTTCACCACAGGCAGCTTAAAGCTGTTCCTGTTTGGTGATGGGTTAAAGCAGAGGTCACGGTTGGTTGAGTGCAGCGGTGTCACAGTGACAACTAGTTCACTTTACTTTCCTAAAAGCTACTCTATCATGTTCTAAATACTTTTTAGTATTTCGGTTTTTTTTTTTTTTACTAAATATGACAACAGTGTCGTAACATTAGCTCAGTAACATTAGTTATTTTTATATTCACTGTTGCGAAGTAATGCAACTGGCATCATTTTTTAACTAACCATGATAACCATGAAAATAGAAAAATATACATTTAAAATTTTCAATTTTCTGGATATTTTTCGTGGTTGGTAAATACAGAGGACGTAGTTCTCCCTTTTCCCCAGCAGGGTGTGCTAAAAACACATTTTGAAGATCGTTTTCCTCCAAGTTGAGAAAAGTGATAAAACATTTTCTCGGTGGCATTTCAGTATTAACCTAGATCTGTTTTAAAGAACTGCGTACAATCAAAAAAAAAAAAAAAAAAAAAGATGGAGAATGAATTGTGTAGTTGAAATTTCCAGATGCAACATCACGCATCAAGGTGGAGCAGCCGGTGGTGGAGATGGACGGAGATGAGATGACTCGCATTATCTGGGAGTTCATCAAAGAGAAGGTGAATTGTAAAAACCTGTAAAATAACGTTGTACGGGATTTTTATCACTGCTTGAAACACACACACACACACACACTTCAATGACGTCAGTTCCAAATTCTTGTTGGACAAAGGCCTGTAAATACTGTATTTATAGTACGTTATTAAGATGCACAAAAATAAAATAAATAAAGATTAAACAAACTTGTTCTGTGATGGTAGTGATTCTGAACACAACACGTTGGTCTTTCTGCAGCTCATCCTGCCCAACGTGGATGTGGAGCTGAAGTACTTTGACCTGGGTCTGCCCTACAGAGACCAGACTAATGACCAGGTCACCATTGACTCCGCTCTGGCAACAAAGAAGTTCAACGTGGCTGTGAAGTGTGCGACCATCACCCCCGACGAGGACAGAGTGGAGGGTGAGCCGTGCTCCACTCAACGCTGGTTTGAAATCACAGCAGTGATTCATCATCACTTCTGTTTTCTTTATGTCCTGTCAGAGTTTAAACTAAAGAAGATGTGGAAGAGCCCAAACGGAACCATCAGGAACATCCTGGGTGGAACCGTTTTCCGGGAGCCGATCCTTTGTAAAAACATCCCCCGACTTGTTCCTGGTTGGACGGTTCCCATAACGATCGGCAGACATGCTTTTGGTGATCAGGTAAAAAGAAGGAAAAAAGCAGAAATTCATTTTTTCAAACTAAAAAAAAGCATCTCACATTTTTTGACTTCCCTGTTCCCAGTATAAGGCCACAGACTTCGTTGTGGACCAGCCGGGGAAGTTCAGTATCGTCTTTTTACCAGCAGATGGAGAGAATCAGCAGGAGTGGGAAGTGTTCGACTTTCCTGCCGGTGGCTGTGGAATGGGAATGTACAACACGGATGAGGTGAGAAAGAGTTGGGATTTTTTTTGTGGACACATTGTTTTGTGGCATGAATTTGAAACACTTGACGTTGTAATTTTTTTTTTCTTTGCCATTAGTCCATCAGTGGATTTGCTCACAGCTGCTTCCAGTACGCCATCCAAAAGAAGTGGCCTCTGTACATGAGCACCAAAAACACCATCCTGAAGGCCTACGACGGGCGCTTCAAAGACATCTTTGAGGACATCTTTGGTAAGTATGTGAAAACCTAAAATAAAAATAAAACATAAAAATGATCATCATGATATTTTTCAATGAATGGTGATATTCAATATAATAGATTATTTTTTTCCAGAGGCAAACCCTTTAAAAACAATCAAACTGAGTTACAAGTTTTAGTTTTTTTAAATGTTAATGTTAATACATACGACAATCATTAATTTAATCGTGGCAGACAAAATCGAGATTGTGATTACAATTCTACTAATTGTGCTGCCCTAAATTCAAATATATAATTTTAATTTACATTCAACTTCTTTTGAACTCAGTGAGTTCACTTCTAGAAACTTCCAATTGGAGTGTGACAGATCACTGTGTATGTAGTACAGCCTTTGGTCCAGTTGATGCTCTGTTTGGACCAACATCACATCCAACTTCTTTTGAACTCAGTGAGTTCACTGAGCACTTCTGTTTGGACCAACATCACATCGATGGTGTTCTTACTGACGGTCATGTTAAATGTTGATTCTTTCATTCTGTTGTTCACTTGCAGGCAGTACAAGCCAGAGTTTGACAAGCTGAAGATCTGGTACGAGCACCGTCTCATTGATGACATGGTGGCTCAGGTCCTGAAGTCCTCTGGAGGTTTTGTTTGGGCTTGCAAGAATTATGATGGAGATGTGCAGTCTGACATTCTGGCTCAGGGTTGGAAAACTATGACTTGATCACTGGAGTGGAACGGTGTTTAATCTGCACCTGACTCACTCCTCTGTGTGTGTGTGTGTGTGTGTTGTCAGGCTTTGGGTCTCTGGGTCTCATGACTTCAGTGCTGGTGTGTCCGGATGGTAAGACCATCGAGGCTGAGGCTGCTCACGGCACAGTCACCAGACATTACCGTGAACACCAGAGGGTAAGACACAGGTCAGGTCACACGGTCACAGTGGGTTTTTGCATCACAGGCAAATGACAATATGTTTGTTTGCACATCTGTGTTCTTGTACTTTCACCTCTGGTAAAACTGATGTGGCACTGAGGAAATATTTACACGTTGTTTGTCTGAGGTCATTTTCCGACTTAATGAATTTCGACTAAAGGTCGATTCTCACTTCTGACAGTGTTTTACTGCTCAGGCCTAGAAACTCTACAATTCCTTAAACTGTGTCTTTACCACGAAGGGACGACCGACCAGCACTAACCCCATCGCCAGCATCTTTGCCTGGACCAGGGGACTTGAGCACAGAGGCAAACTGGATGGAAATGCTGATTTGATCAGGTATCTTAGTTGATTCTATTTGATAATTTTACATTTTATTATAAAATGTTTTCTTGGTGTGGTGCTGATTTTTGCGCTCTTGATTTTCACTCTGTAGTTTTTGCCAATCGTTAGAAAAGGTCTGTGTGGAGACTGTGGAAAGCGGTCTGATGACCAAAGACCTGGCGGGCTGCATCCACGGCATGGCCAAGTGAGTTTGGATCTTCAGATGTGTTCGTGTTTGTAATGTTGTCAAGTTAATGGAATTTCATCCTTTGTCTCCGTAAAGCTGCAAGTTGAACCAACATTATATCAACACGTCGGACTTCCTCGATGCTATCAAGACCAACCTGGACAAGGCTCTTCAAAAATAAAAACTGATTTCATGAACAGACTAAAACATAATTTCCAATTTCTCTGGAAACAACGTCACCCTTTTTCCAAGTTGTTTTTCAGTTGTACAGCTCACTTTACCTTTGTCTGTTAGTCTAATTGCTATTATTAGGTACATTTTATTATTATTGCCTACAACCTATAATAGACATTGTGGGGAAAACATTTTAATAAGTGTTTTTCAATAATGGCATTTTTATTTTTATATATATTCAATATTTCTGCATTGTAATTTTAAGCAGATGTTTAAATAAGTCTTAATTTCACGTAGCATGAACGCAGTCCTAAATTCTAAGCTTCCATTAGAAAGAACACGCCACCGAATGGAAGCTTAGGCAAATATTCGTTTTACCACGAGCTTCCACCAGATGTCGACAAAGGTGTAGTGGGACGCATCCGCACGTCATCCATGTCAGAGGTGAATTGATCCAACATTTCTCTGTTCTTTTATTAAATCAACTTAAATGTACATTAATATATATCTGAATTCCCACCCCCGTTAGCTCCACTTTTATGAAAGAAATCTGCGTTTCAAATGTGAACACACAGCCTGAGATATTAGGTAAAACGCTAAAGAATAATATTTTGACCTGTGTTTACACAGGAGACTGAGAAAAAACCCATCACCTCACCTGCCATCATGATAAGAAAGTACATAAATAAATAATAATTTCCACTGATCTGTGTTAAATATGAATTTTCAGTGTGTTCAGTTGATATTTCTGACATTTTATTTAGTAAAAAACGATAGACGTGACTGACTTCTGGGTCACATGACGCTTACCCGGGGATGCAAACAGTACTCCGCCTCACCTCAAGGGGGTCGTACGTGAACTGACAGGTGCTCTCCAACTGGCTTCAACAAACAATTCCGACTGACTATGGATTGTGTTTCAAGACGGAAACATTTCTCAAAACTGGACTTCCGGTCCAAACAGAAGACGATAAATGATGGAAGCTAACTCCCGAGCTAAAGGATTAGCTTCAAACTACGGGACAGAAGAGTCGTTCTTTTTAAATGTAGAGGTACAAACGAAGAGACTGTCTGTGTGTCTGTCAGAAACCGCCATTACTGCTGTCCTTGTCTTTTATTGTCATCGTGTGATAACGTCTGGACGAACTCGGAATATTGTGACCTGAAACATTTACAAAGATGCCTCAGCAGACATGGAAGATCAGCCACGGACATTCAAAGACAGATTTCTTTAAAAACTTCTGGAAATTCAAGGATCGATTCGTCATCGGATGAACAACGGAGACTAAACATTAGCCTCGGCGATGTTAAGGTGAGGGGAAACCGAGACACACAACCACGGACTTTGTTGTTTTCCTAAACAAAAGTACAGAACTTCTTTAACAACTTTAAACTCCTAACTTTGTTCCAAGTCATGTCAAATGTCCGAGGTTTAATAATATTAATAATAAAAATAAAAACACATCTTACCTTAATAAGGATCAATGATATATATTTTTAAACGTTCTCGGAATGCATCCTGAAGCATGTCAAGACGCTTGTCAAAACATAAATCTGAAGGCGGAAGACGGGTGTTTGGATTTCAAAATAAAAGACAGTTTCATTTAAAGTCTGTCTAACAGCATGTGGCGTTCAACATTATGGTGAGCTTTTCTGTTAAATGTTCCTTGTTTGTTTCAACAGTTCAACTTTACAATAACGAACACTGTAGTAACCAAGTACTCTAGGAACTACATAAACCTTTGTTTCTTAAATGTGCCCATCATTCTATTTACTTTAAGAGGACAGGGTGTTACAACACTCAGTCTAAACTAAACGAAAAGAGCTGTAAAATAGGAATTCTGTTTGACAGTTCTGTCTTCTCTGAACCGATGATGCTGTAGTTCAGAAATATTTAATTGAGTTAGTTGTCCTGCTGCAGATAAAATCTTCTATTAGGATTATGGACTGGTCACTGCAGAGTGCTGGCTGCACTCTACTGTAAATACATTGAATTAATGTGAGGCTAAAGGCTGGTCAAATCAAATACAGTGGAATCTCAGTTTTCAAACTGAGATTCCACTGTTTTTTCCACCTTTCCATTTTCACTATCACACATTTCTTTTAAGGTCCCACGGTCATTACAACAACCTGGGCAATTTTTGGGTAAAACATTTTGTTTGTGAACCAAATTGAACCGAGGTTCCACTGTATAGATTTTAGACTTGTTCTTATTGAATCATATAAATAAACAATAAAAGCTGAAATTATTGTTTAGGCATCCTTGTTCTACAACATTATGTTCCCTCTAAAACTATTGCTCAGCACAGTTTTCAACAAGAAACTGCTCTGAAAGTGAAGTAAAAACAGCCCTGAATTTAGTGTCGAGTGCTGTGACTACCAACAGTAACAAAGGCCCAAACTGCTGATTCGCTCAACAATTTTTCTTCTTCAATTCACACTGGAATCAGTAACTGTAAACAAGCAATGAAACTGCACTTTACAAACCTACTGAGAAAAATCAATACATTTTTGTTGTTTTTTATTAATATTGCCATTATGGGCTTTTAAAGAGTCCTATGAGTCCACTCTTACAGAAGAGACAGTTCTCAATGAAAAAAGTGCTTTGTAATGTTCACTCGGTAATTCAAAAACTAGAGCAGTAAAGTCACTACACAGGACTGATTATAAATGTAAGGGAAAAACCAACGTGGAACAAAGGTGGCAGGTAAACAGTCGTACAGTTGTACAGTCGGAGGGCAACAAGAATGTTGTTATTATTGTGAGATTCGAGCCACTTTAGTAAGAAGTGCCTGGTAGAAAAACCAAGAATTACCATGTGCCAAAAGTGGTCAAGAGCAGAGAGACTCAAACAGAAGGGCTGGGAAAGAACAGGGAACAACAGATTGGTTAGTAATAGCAATTCATACTCATGAATATGTTGTGACTATGCATCAAAGCTGCATATACAGTGAGTAAATAGCAAACACGATGGACGCTTAGATGTAAATGTATCTAACTGGCACTTTCAGTCGAAAAGTAAAAGAGCAAACACTGGTTGTGATTGACAAAAATGGCAAAACAGGGAAACAAATTTCTATCACATTAAACGCAACTGCTGGCTCTGCAAATCCAGATTATAATCCCCGCCCCCACCGCCCGCCCTTGAATTAACTGGTACGTACACACAACATACAGGGTTTTCTGTCCGCCGCAGTTCTGGACTCAGTCAGAGTAGTAATCCCAAAAAAAGAACTGCTCCAGATTAGTGCCTCAGTGGTCCTGCCATAAGCAACAGTGCTGAACCGTCTCCAGTGAAACGTCTCCTTCTTGGCCTCCACTCTGGAGTCTCACAGTTTCTGGTTCTCTCAGATGGAGGCCATACAGTAACTTTGAACAAAAAAAAAGGAAAAAAACCCAAATCCTCATCCTTCAAATATCCCATTGTCACAAAAAGGCCAAATCAGTTCCTTTTCTTCCATTTCGATTAGAAAATAAAATTAGAAACATGTCCTCCGGTCCATCAGTTTTTAAGGTGTTGCGTAACTATTTGTATCCTTTCCAAAGTTGTAATATTCCTCCATGTCCTCCATGTTTGCCGTGGTGAGTTTAGTCAGGTTTTGGGAGCCTCCGTTTTCCATGCTGTCTGGTGATGTGAAATTGAAGTTCTGGGACTCGTACTCTCCCTGGTTTTCCATTTCTGGAAGAACTTCTAAAATGAACAAAATTAAGGTTAAGAATGTTGTCTGCCATAAACCCCCAAAATACCAACACAAGCATAACGCAACATGCAGATGTTATGATATACACTGAACAGGGGAACTTTAAAATTACAGTTTTTGTGATGTTGTTTAAACCAGTGGCAGCACATCATCACATCTTTGTAAGTTCATAAAATATATTTAAGTATTATTATTACTTTGAATATTGTTTTTGTTTCTTCTTTGTGAGAAAAGCAACTTGGAGGATATTTTAAAAATAAAGTAATGACAGGAGCTATAAAAGTGAATTTTGACTGAACTGAAAATTTAAAACTAACCGCTGTATTGAAGTCAGTTTCACGTGGGACAAAGTCTGACGCTGCTGGTCAGTCATGCTCAGTGAACAAACCTGTGAGCGCCACCAAGTGGGCGGAAACGCCTGTTTATCATTTCTGGTCCGGTGACGGTTTGTTTGTTCTCACCTTGTCCCTCTGGTGACACGTCCATCCCATGTTTGAGCTTCATGTGCCTGCTGAGGTTTCCCTTCAGGTTGAACTTACTGGTGCAGTAAGGGCACTTGAAGGGCTTATTACCAGCGTGGAGGTGCATGTGGCCCAGCAGGTTGTACATTCTGTTGAAAGACTTCCCACAAACCTGAATGAACAATCAGAGAAATAAGATCAGGGATTTTGGTCCGTCTTATTTAGTTGTCTCAGAAATGTCTCTACTATTTTGTAATAAATATTTTACAGCACTGCAGTCTCAACAGTACTGACATCAAAGGAAGCTTTTTTTTTTTTTTTTTTCCAGTTATATTTCATGTTCCAGTTGAATCCGATCGCTCTCTAATACTGACCTTGCATTTGAAGGGTTTGACAGGCAAGTGAACGATCATGTGTGTCTTCAGCGTCTGTTTCTGGATGAAGCTCTTGAAGCAGACGTGACACTGGAAAGGTCTGACGCTGTTGTGGATCAGCATGTGTCTCTTCAGGTTGGCGGACAGAGTGAACTCTCGTGAGCACACGTCGCACTTGTGGCCCTTCATTCCCTTCAAACAGAGGAGGGAAAAAAGACGTCAGTCGTTCATCAAGGATAATGATTATTGACAACGTCACGAGGAACATGGTTCATAATTTCAATTACTGAAAGTGAAAGAAATTCAGTAATCGTTGATTCATGGGAGGTGTGTCTGTGGTGGAGGGGTTTTTTTTTTGCAGTGGAAGTAAAGGAGAACGTAGTGTCTGAAGGTCTGAAAACGGGTTCATTTTTATAGTTTGGCTGATGTTCATCAACACGGTGAACATCTTCATCAACATGGTGAACATCTTCATCAGGTCACAGAGTTTCGTCCTTTAACACCTGACAGTTAAACGTCTAAACGTGGCTCTGGCCTTTGATTCAGTGAGTGCTGACACCGGCATATTTTTAGATACCGTGTTCCTGTGACTAAATGTCGGTGCAGTGTGGTCTCTCTGCACTTCTGAAAAATACTTCCCATTCTGTTTGTCGACGTTTGGAAAATGTGACGTATTCTTTGTCTTGAATCCAGGTTCTTCATAACTGACAGCTCAGTTGGATTAGTGATAAAGATATTTCAAACTTTGTGTATTAGTTATGTTAAAGATAATGATGTTAAAATAATGTAAAATCTAATACATGTACGTATAGTATTTAAGTTTTTCAACTTCACATATATATATATTTACATACATGGTGGACTGTGTGTTGCACTGATTTCTGTTCAGGTGAAAGTTTTGTCTTTTGAGTTTTATTTTCAACTGCATTTCACTTCAACTGAACTGTTGGAACCATGAAAACTGAAATTTGTACCAAATCGTGAGGTGTGAACTGTGACGACTCTATTTTAAGTGTCTTCTTTTTCAGACTCGTATTGTCTGTGACAGAAGCCTGTTTCAATGCACGTTTTGGGGGTTTGGGGGCGGGGGGGGAGAGG